TAAAGAAAATTGTAGCCTGTATGCTACAGAAAGTTAATAGCCTACATACAGTATGATTTCACTCACCAAGCCTATCACGGGAAGCCAATATCTATCCCTTCTTAAGTGTCCGCGCTAGTGAGCGCGTTGGGCCGTTTAGTGAAACTGACGCACATATAGCCTATAATCTAACGACAGATGAAGTAAACCCGTAAATCTTCACGAGTCCTAATAAATACAGTGCATGTTCTCAATAACGGTTTAAATAAATGAAAGAATGATTTAATCTATGTTTTACTTCTGATATAAACATTTAGATTAAATATGAAATTCTCATTAATGGATTTAAACACTTAAACTAGAAGAAGTTACAAAAAAATAATATTCAATAAATAGAAATATATATTTGCTGAGGAAGCAATGCTTTTGAACACTTGCATGCTGTGTTTTAATGATTTAACTAGAGATAATTGCTAATCATGATAATAGCAGATTGTCTGAGAAAATAGTTCCATGCAAATAATGCACAACCATGTCTATCTGTTTCCATTAAAAATATAAATTAATTAAAAATACTATTTAGCCAGTAGAAAAGATTGAGAAAATCTTTCTCTGAAATGTATTTTACACTATTTGAATTATTCATTCAAAAACAAAGCAAGGATGTAGGCTACTAAAAAAAAAACATCTTGTACCTTAACATGGTTTCACGTGAAAGAATGATCATATGCAAATTATATGCAGATGAGGATATGCATATTTAAACTAGTAATCTCCATATATGGTTATTTCAGGGAGGAGATGCATGTGCGCACAATCTTCGGCTGACTGGGATGTATAAAGTTAATTCTGCGCAGGTTCTGGCGTACACACGGTTTTATAAATCTGAATATTTTATTCAGTCAAATAAGGACAAACCCAAACGTTGGGTTAAAAATGTAACAATGAAAATTTAACCCAATGGCTGGGTTAATCCATGTTTGACCCAAAGTTGGGTTAAAACAACCCAACAGTTTTTTAGAGTGTTAAAACCCTATTGTGAGCCTTGAAGGACAGCCCTGGTTTTGGCACACTTAACCTAATCCTAAGGGTTTGAACTTCTGAACAGATGGTTTATGTCTTCAGGTTGACATAAGAGCCGTTCTAAGAGGACAGTCATCAGGCCAAAACTGATCCCTATTTGGGGCTTAAGTCTCTTAAAGGCTATCTTTCACTTTAATTGTGTAACTTAATTTATACAGAATCTTGTATGAAAATTTAAAAAGACGTACATAAGAATACATATGTTTTACAACACCCACGGGCAGAAATTAAGAAAAAAAATTACTTGTTTAAGCTAGGCTCCCAAAAACCACCCTTTTCCAGAGAACGCGTCACTTGATGTAACAGAGGCAATTTATATAGAGACATGCAACTTCCTCAATCCTCAATACAACCATATATGGAAAACCCGTAACGCCAAAGATGGCGGTTGTATGCACATTCTGGTGATATGGCATGGTCCATGGAGTCCAGGGGAGGAGATGTTGATCGAGTCCTGTGAGGAGGACCCGAAGAGCTGCACTGTAAAAAAAAATATTGATGGTTTAACTTAAAAAAGTAAGTAACCTGGTTGCCTTAAAATTTTAAGTTCATTGAACTGGAAAAAGTGAGTTAATAAAATGAAGGAGATCAATTTAACCATCAGAAACTCAAAATTATATGTTATCTGTACTAAATAAATTAAGTTGATTTGACAAAAGAAAAAATGTTGTGATTACTGCACTGTAAAAAAATATTGTTGGTTTAACTTAAAAAAGTAAGTAACCTGGGTTTCCTTAAAATTTTAAGTTGATTGAACTGGAAAAAGTGAGTTAATACAATGAAGGAGATTAATTTAACCATCAGAAACTCAAAATAATAAAGTTATCTGAACTAAATCTCAACTAAAATTATTATAAAGTTGATTTGACAAAAGAAAATATGTTGTGATAACAAATCTTGAAAATATTTTTTACAGTGTGGAATCTCTCAGTGACCCAAAGTAAAAAAAAAAAAAAAAATATATATATATATATATATATATATATATATGGGAACTTTTTCTGATTGTGTATCAAAAAAAAAAAAATGTCAGAGTCAGAATTAATGTGTTTTTTTCCTTTTCTTGTTTTCAGTGCTAATAACAAGTTCATTGTTTGCCAGAAGCAGTTGCTGTCCTTGTTCACGGTCTGCCCTGCATGCTGTGGGGAAACCCAGGAACTCATAATGCAACTGTATGAGGAGCTGAATTATAGTCTGTGAATGTATGTATATTAAGTATTTGTGTCTTAACTATACAGGTATTTCACTGCCTCATCTCATAAGCCTCAAGTATAGCCTCATAAAGCTGTTTGAGTCTTGAATCTTCTTTTGTCTTTCAGGCCTGCAGAACTTGTGGCACTTGAGCTTCTGCTGTACCTGCTAAACTCGGTTGTAAACCAGAGCCAGACGTTTCAAACTGACAGAAAGATGGGGGCCATTTGAAACCACAGATCTTTAAACATAAAAATAAATTACAAATTTCCAAACATACAAAAGACATACTTGAATAATTAGTATAACATCTTCAGGATGTTACTTGGATGCACTTTTAGCTAACACAAATTATGTCTGACTGATGAACATCCAGTGGTCATCTTAAAAAACAGAATGGAAAAGAGGATGATGTTGATAATAGAAGTTCCAGTGATCCAACAGACTAATGAAAAGTGGTTACATATGATTTTTTTTTTGTCAAATGAGAAGTGAAGGGGAAAATAAAACAACAGCTGGAATTGCTCATTACATCACTTCAGCTGCTGGTCAAATTTAATCCAAATGTTTTCAAATGTTGTGAGAGCAAATAAATGTGAATTAACAAACAGATGATGATTGGAAGGACAAATATTAGAAAAGACACTGCAGACCATATAAATACAAAGCTATGTGTGTTTCTCAAGAATAACTATTTACTGATCTAAAAAAAACAATACCTTTGGGTGGATGTTAGTCTGGATTAGGTTGACAAGACTAAAATGATTCAACCTGAAATCCCCATGAAATCCCCAGAAAACCTGAAATCGTCGAGACATGTCATCCGAGATGTCCATGTCTTTCTTTCTTCATTAGAAAAGAAATTAAGGTTTTTGATGGAAACATTCCAGGATTTTCTTCATATAATGGACTTCAATGGGAACCAAACCGTTCAAGGTCCAAATGAGAGTTTCAGTGCAGCTTCAAAGGGCTTTAAACGGCACCAGACGATGAATAAGGGTCTCATCAAGCGAAACGATCGGCCATTAAAAAAAAAAAAAAAAGTTTAAGTTTTATAAGCTCAAATGCTCGCCTTGCTCTGTTCTGTGATGAGCGTTCGTGACTCTTCTGTTCAAACTCGATCATCAAATCTTTTTTCAAGTCATGACTCAAAGTGTCCTAGATAAGACCCTTATTCATCGACCCTTTAAAGCCCTTTGAAGCTGCATTGAAACTCTCATTTGGACCTTGAACCGTTTGGTTCCCATTGAAGTCCATTATATGGAGAAAATCCTGGAATGTTTTCATCAAAAACCTTAATTTCTTTTCGACTGAAGAAAGAAAGACGTGGACATCTTAGATGGCATGGGGGTGAGTAAATTATCAGCAAAAGTTTTTTTTGTTTTTTTGTTTTAAGTGAACTACTCCTTTAAGGATGTCTTTACGTCTTAAAATAATGTCTTAAAGGCACAGTATGTACATTATGCACAGCATGTAGTTTTGCTGCTAGAGGCGCGCATGTTTGTGTGCATGTGTGTTTTCCTACATAATAAACACGAATTTGCAAACCTTAATGTTGTAGTTCTTTAAAATCTGGTCTAGTAGGCCAACTTTCCCTCATCACAAGTGTACTATTACTGAAATAACTACATTATAAGGCCATAACTCTGCACTCCTTCTCAAAAATGACTAAATGACTCTAGGCTGAAGTACATGCATGTGATCGTACATGTGCAGTTAACCTTCCAAACACATTCATCTCTTAACATCAGAATCACATGAGTCCTGGTTTCTATCTCAAAACATGGGTTTAAGTGTTGCAACAGAGAACCTGTGGCATTTTTATGTTAAAAACTTTCTTCTGTAGGATTGCACCATAAAACTTTCTTTTCTTCTTCTTTTTTCCTAATTGAAATTATAGATGCATATAAGCTTTTCAGAATTGTGAGATAAAAAAGTTGCAATTAACTTAAAAATATTTAACTTAATAATTTATATATATCGGAAACAAACTTAAAAGGACAGAGAATTAAATGATATCTGGAATTATTTAATACATCAAAACAAAAAACTAAATCCAAATGGATAATTTCAAATTTTGTAATAACAAATGAATGTGTGTGCAAGCGGAAAGCAAACAGATCAAAAACGGAAAATGTTTCAAAGGGATGTGTGTGGGAGAAAAGACAGGAACTCCAATGCTCACTCCAATCCAAATTACATTAGTGTTCGACTGTGTGTGTGTGTGTGTATGCATCCCAACTGCAGAACGGCTGTTCACTCACAAAACACACCCTAGCATGCTATGCGAAGGAAACTTGCTTTAATCCTCGTCATAAATCAGATCACTGTGCCTTAAAATTATAATAACAAAAATAATTGCACATATGTATTTATACATGCATAAATAAATACAAATAAAAACAGCTAGCACACAGGTTGGTTACATGCTTTTCTGTGCCTTCAGCTAGACGACTTGGCAGAGACCACTTTGGCAACAGTGTGAAAGTACAAATGCACATACTTTCATGTGGCTTTCTTTCAAAATCCTGCCAGTTATTCCCAAACCTTTTACAGATGACACTCCCAGAGCTCTAAAAACCTCTGAGTCATGTCCAATTCTTAAAAGACACTCTTTCCCTCCCCTGAGTTGAATGCAAAACAGCAAGTCATTCAATGCCGCAATAGCATGCTGAGTTAGTGAGCAGTACTTAAACCCGGCAACAGGTTTAATGCTGAGACAGGAGGTAAATAAAAGACTGTCTTACCTGACTTGCGTTTGGATCCATAATCCCTGTAAAACAAGCAACAGCAGAGTGACATAGTAAGTCACAGTGAGACAATGTCCTGCAGCAGACAGCTGTCACACACATACACATACACAAACACACACACACACGCTAGAGATCCAGTGAGAGCAAGACGCGTGCCAGGGCAGGGAGCGAGTCTGTGTTAAGATCGAAGGGGCCAGCTGCTATCGCCACAACATCTGATCATGTGACCCAAACAGAACCACGGCTCTTTCTCTATCCTTTTATCCCCCCCGTCCGTCCTCTCATCCTCCAGCTCTGGGATAAAGAGGGCGGATCTCTTAACACGCCCTGATTAATAGATCAGAATGACACGCGGCCTTGTGGCAAACAATAAAAATGTGGCAAACAATAAAATCGAGCATCGTCCTGACAGACGCAAAATGGAAAGATGAATTATGAGACAGAAGCACAAATAGAATAACTATATTTATGTTTTCTAAAAAAAAATTAGTGATATTTCCAAAACCCTGCGCCATAATGTTGGAGTTGGCCTGAGAACTTGGTTGCTCTCTCTATGATATTGTGGTTTTGTGCCAATGGTTAATAGAATCACTAATAACATTTAAAATCACTAAAGAGCATCTTAAATGCATCTGCAACTGCAAAGTACGGTAAAATAACTTTAAACTTTATTTAAAATATATTTACGTTCCGTATTCACGTTACTGTATTTTAGTAGCCCTACTATTTGTCCCTCGACATTCAAAATAATTTAACACAATTTAACGGCATACATAATTTGCGTCACATAGTTAGATGATCCACGAGAAAGGCAGAAATTTCAATTCTAACCCTTTACACTTCACTTGTTTGTTTGCGATCAGATCATTTTAAGCTGCTAAACTTGGGGAAAGTTTTCAGTCCATGAATGATCCAATATGCGAATTCATTCAAACAATCAGCCCAAAACAGCGCTAATGTAAAGAAAACCAGGTTGATGGCAGGGAGAGAGACTCACGTCGAGATTTAGATTGAGTTTTTTACGACATACCAGCCCGTTCTCATCCCAAGGCGTCATATGCTGACGCTTTTGACATTTTGTCATGTGCAGATAGATATGGGCCAGAAGGCGCCTCCTAGTGGTCTAACCCTAACCCTACCCCAGAACTAAACCTACCCATAACCGAACAAAGGTCTGTGCGTGTTATATTGACGCTAAAGGGTGCCATGTGCGTTGGATTTAGATGAAATTTCAAAAGCGTCACTTTATTACCCCCTAGGATGAGAACGCGTTTGACATACATATTATGAAAATACGCCTAACTGTCTCTCTGATCACATTCACGCACATGCACACATTCATGGCTGGTATTCCCCAAAAAAACCCTTAAGGACATTTGCTCTAATATCTACATTCCCTTATGACAAGCTTTTCATCCTCTCATCTGTTTCTGCATCTCTTTCTTTTTGTCCTTCTCTCGCTCAATCTCCTCTTTTGTGACTCCCGTGGGAGAATGAATACTCTCTTTTTCAGATCAGCGGTATGAGGTCACTGCAAACCTTCTAGAATGAACTCCTTTGTAGCCGAATAGAGGCAGGACACTGTCCAAAAAGCCCTAAATCAGAGAGATCTGCTATCTGTCTCGCAGAAAAGGAAACTGCTACAATTAAGACGCATATAGGACATGACATTTATGTATAATATGCAGTAGAAAAATTCCCAGTTTTAGGAGACTAAAGCATGCCAATATCTGTATCAAGCATCATTCTCAGTCCAACAGGACTACCCTCCAAAAAAATAATAATTAATAAAAGGTTAAAAAAAGAATAGATATAATTAATTTATATTAATACATAATATAAAGTGAATTGTAAATATTATATATATATAGCTTATTTTTTAAATATTGTAGTTGCCATGTTTTCCAAGGCAAAAATTCAGTAAATAGTTTCTGCAAAACTTCCTCAGACCAGTTCCGGCTGTTCACCTCTTGAGGCGAATCTCATAGTAAATACTTCGCTTGAGACCGTTTAGCAGAGAAAGTGTTATTGGAAGTGACTGTTCACAGTTCCCTGCAGTGTCTGCATGTAATATACGACATCACTTGGGTTGCCCCAAAAGTTTAAGACAAAAAATCTACAGTTCTCAGCTTTATAACTCCCAGAGTCACTATTAAATAAAAGGCGGGAGAGGAAAGGCATAACATGGTAGATTGTGCTTAATGGGCACTGCTCTGTTCATTCACTGTTCTGTGTTTGTCAAACGTTTGGTGACCACCAGCACATACACCAGTGAAGTGTGTGAATTGTACAATGACTTTCAGGGATGTCAGATTTTTTAATATTTCATGTTTAAATATATGTTAAATGCCAGTTTTGATAAGCAATCATGTAATCGAATGAAGGAAGAGAATGAGGAATGGAGGAAGGAAGGAAGGAAGGAAGAGAGGGAGGGAGGAAGGAAGGAAGGAAGGAAGAGAGGGAAGAAGGAAGGTAGGAAGGAAGGAAGAGAGGGAATAAGGAAGGTAGGAAGGAAGGAAGAGAGGGAGGGAGGGAGGAAGGAAGGAAGGAAGGAAGGAAGGAAGGAAGGAAGGAAGGAAGGAAGGGAGGGAGGGAAGGGAGGAAGGATAAGAGGGAGGAAGGGAGGAAGGAAGGGAGGAAGGATGAGAGGGAGGAAGGGAGGAAGGAAGGAAGGAAGGAAGGGAGGGAGGGAGGAAGAGAGGAAGGAAGGTAGGAAGGAAGAGAGGGAGGAAGGGAGGGAGGAAGGGAGGAAGGATGAGAGGGAGGAAGGGAGGAAGGAAGGAAGGGAGGAAGGGAGGAAGAGAGGAAGGAAGGTAGGGAGGAAGAGAGGGAGGAATGGAGGGAAGGAGGGAGGGGGGAGGGAAGGGAAGGGAAGGGAGGAAGGAAGGAAGGAAGGAAGGAAGGAAGGATGAGAGGGGGGGAGGGAAGGGAAGGGAAGGGAGGAAGGAAGGAAGGAAGGAAGGAAGGAAGGAAGGAAGGAAGGGAGAAAGGGGAAGGGAGGAAGGATGAGAGGGAGGAAGGGAGGAAGGAAGGAAGGAAGGAAGGAAGGGAGGAAGAGAGGAAGGAAGGAAGGGAGGGAGGAAGAGAGGGGGAAGGGAGGGAGGGAAGGAGGGGGGGAGGGAAGGGAGGAAGGAAGGAAGGAAGGAAGGGAGGAAGAGAGGAAGGAAGGAAGGGAGGGAGGAAGAGAGGAGGGAAGGAGGGAGGGGGAGGGAAGGGAAGGGAGGAAGGAAGGAAGGGAGAAAGTGGAAGGGAGGAAGAGAGGGAGGGAGGGAGGGAGAAAGGAAGGGAGAGAAGGGAGGAAGGGAGGAAGGGAAAGAGAGAGAGAGGGAGGGAGGGAGGATGGGAAAGAGAGAGAGAGGGAGGGAGGAAGGATGGAAGAGAGAGAGGGAGGGAAGAAGCAAGGAAGGAGGGAAGAGAGGGAGGGTGAAAGAGAGGAAGGAAGGAAGGGAGAGATAAAGGGAGGGAAGAAGCAAGGAAGGACGGAAGGAAGAGAGGGAGGGATGAAGGGAGGGAGGGAGGAAGGAAGAGAGGGAGAGAGAGAGAGAGGAAGAAAGGAAGGAAGTTATGCTGCTTAATATTCCTGTCTAACCATATACATCAGATAAGTTTTCATCACTTAAAAAAATGTATTGACCCCAATCTTTTGACCAGTAGTGCATGTTGCCAGGGTGTTGCTATGTGACTGGTAAGATTTTCGAGTGTATTGAAGCTAGAGTGTTTTGGGTCATTGTTCTGCCATTGATAGGTGGTTGACAGATGGCCCAAAAGAAACCAATCCCGAGTTACTATGATATTCTAGTTCTTTATTACAACTTGGGTCCCTCCTTTAATGCAAGTGTCAAAGAACACAACACACACACACACACACACACAAGAGCAAAAAATACCAATAAATGACAAGCAGTGTTTCATAACTAGAGCCTCCGGCTGCTCCTCCTGGTTTCTGTTATTATTCTGTTTCTGCATCAGTGTGGAGGGGAAACTGGACCATGAGTTACAACACAAGACTTTTGAGCAACAAACAGATCCAACATTTAATAAAAAACAAATCCTTCATGATGAATGTTTACACAGAGCACAAAACAGAGGTCCTCCCTCACACTCCAGATCTGCAGAAATGGAACTTCACACTGTTTTTGCTTCTGAACTTCCTCAAAGGTTTAATGATGTTTAGATCTGATGATTGGAAAGGCCTTGAAAGGTGTCAGAAATCTGCTGTTCATGAAACCATTCTGCATTTGTTTGGGAAATTGGGAGATGGAAAAACATTGAGGCAACAGTGTTTGCTCCACACAGTCCAGCTGGTCCAAACTGACTCATGTTTGTTGACAGTTACACATGCCGAGCAATAGAACGGTTCCTAACAGTAAACCCATCAGGTTTTAGGAATTAGACTGAAAGATGACTCAACAGAGTGCAGTATTTTTTCCAACCCGAGGGGGGCTATAACGGCTTTGGAACCATTTTGCCATGTTTATGATGATGTTCTACCAGTTCCAGCACTGACTTCCATTGTTTCCATTATGGGAAATTTTACGTTTATTTTGGGTGGACTATCCCTTTAAGAGCTAGCGCATGTTCTTATGGTCTTATCAGCCAATCAGCATTGTCATGAAGTCATTTTCCTTCCACATTCAACATCAATTTTCTCCATGAACGTTCCCTGGCCTAAAAGGACGTGCCTCGTGAAACAGGCCTTTAACTTTGAACTAAATCACAATTATTTTTGCCTATCCTCTGTACTTACTCTCGGTGTGTCTCATTGTCTGTCTCTTTCCTTGACTGATCATCTTATCAGATCCTTCTCCAACACCACTTTAGATAATGAACTAGTTTTATCCTGCATTAACCCCCTGAGGAGCCACACAATAATCAGTCACTGTGACCAGTAACCACCTGGGTCTGCGTCTAAACCCACCAATCATGACAGGCTCGCCACTGAATGAGTCTTTCAATTCATACTAAATCCCTTAAAGGGGTAGTTCACATTTTATTTATCGTGCAATTAATATGCGAAAAT